TATTTAAAATATAAAAATCGATTTTTAGCATTTAATTGATTATTTAAAATATAAAAATCGATTTTTAGCAATTAATTGATTATTTAAAATATAAAAATCGATTTTTAGCAATTAATTGATTATTTAAAATATAAAAATCGATTTTTAGCAATTAATTGATTATTTAAAATATAAAAATCGATTTTTAGCTATTAATGGATTATTTTAAATATAAAAATCGATTTTTAGGTATTAATTGATTATTTTTAAAAATAAAAATCAATTTTTCTTAAGTCCAGATCCTGTTCCGAAAATATTCGGAAAATATATACTCTAAAATCCAGCAATTGATTATGATCATTGGAAAAATGATTTACCATAACAAAAATGATGTTTTTTAACAAATAAAAATGTTATGTGATGCATGACGGTAAGTTAGGGTGTTAACACCCGAAGCTAGGCCGCTAATTATTATTGAATATTATGTTGATTGATGACTATGGTAACGATTACTGATTGATGATTATGATGATTAAATCTTGATGAATATTCTGATTAAAAATGATAATTGTGAATGATTAAATCATAATGAATATATTGATAATTGTGAAAATAATATCTATTGTTAAGGTATCTAAGAGACCTCTAAGATATACCCATATTAATGTTGATTTCAAAGGTATCTAGAAGAACTTTAAGATATACCCATTTAAGTTAGGCCTTGCGGGTATGAACCCCGGTGGCTAGGGTTAAAACGTACGTACGGGATCCAGGAACCAAACTTGAGTACCTACTCGTTTGGGGGTACCACCCACCCAATAGTGAACACTACGCTGTCGGTTTTTGGTTGGCCTTAAGTGAAGGTAAGTTTAAGATTTTCAAAACCCTTTTATCTTAAACTAGGCCTAGCTTAAGGATTATTTAGGAATATCTTATACTGGAATATAGTTTAATTATTTAAACTAGAATTCGTTTAAAGGTTGACAAATATTAAAGTGATTGGCCTTAGACTAAGAATAGTTTAAGGATATTGTTGAATGTTGAATATTGAATATGAGTAAATATTGAATGATGAATATTGAATTGAATATTGCAATTATTATGAATGACTGATGAACATTGAATGTGAATATAAATGTTGAATAATGCATGATGAATAATTTTTAATAATTATTGATCATCTGAACTGAACATTATGTGCATGATATCAAATGATTTGATTATGAATTTAGATTCAGTTTATATGGATGTTTGATGCATTAGATATACTTACGCAGCTTCAACGCTGAGCGTGTAGTATGTTTATTTGCTACACGCAGGTTAATGAAGTGACGTGATCCTGGAGGCAGACGGAGGCGAGATTGTCGGAATGGATGTGATGGTTTTGAATTAAAGAACATAAATAAATTATGTTTGTGATTATGATTGTTAAGCTTCCGCAATATTGAAAACTCCGTACTGTTTATATTATGAAAAATATTATTGTGATAAATAAAAGTGTTTGAAATGTTTTAAATTTTTACGATTACCAAGTTAATACTTTAATCTGAAAGGGGCTGCAGACCTAGACNTATGTTTATTTGCTACACGCAGGTTAATGAAGTGACGTGATCCTGGAGGCAGACGGAGGCGAGATTGTCGGAATGGATGTGATGGTTTTGAATTAAAGAACATAAATAAATTATGTTTGTGATTATGATTGTTAAGCTTCCGCAATATTGAAAACTCCGTACTGTTTATATTATGAAAAATATTATTGTGATAAATAAAAGTGTTTGAAATGTTTTAAATTTTTACGATTACCAAGTTAATACTTTAATCTGAAAGGGGCTGCAGACCTAGACAGATTAGGGTGTTACAATGTCTGTTTTGATTCAGATTACACAAATATCAAATGTCTGTGTTCAAGAAAAATAAAGACTTTTAGTATTTGTGTAATTATACACGAGTAATTATAATTGTTTTCTTTTTTACAATCTAGAGAAAATTGTGAAAAATTCTTTAGAATAACATTATTTGGTATATTTGACAGATGTAAATTTGTATTTAGGTTTTACAGATAATAAGTTTCTGTTTACGATGAATTACAGACACTTGTTGTCTATGTGATCAAAACATACTCCGTACTTAGTTTATTTTTACAATATAAGAAAAAATCATGAAATATTCTTATTACTTTACTATTTAGTATATTTGACACGTGCAATTTTCATATATTAAATACATGGAGAACCAAATCGAGATTTGGATCGGAGAAGGGCGACGAAGCATACATTCAATTTCTTCGCCGCCACCGGCTTCCCCGTAATTGCCCTTTCCTCCCAGATCGCCATTCGCCACTGCAATTTTTCTTGTCGTCAACAACGTAGCCGGAGGTGTAGATTTTGGCAAAGAGCGTGGTGTAATTTTCATTCAGAGTGTTTTTCTCTTTTTATAAACACTAAGAAATTTATAGAATGTTCTTGGTGTATCAAGAATTTCATATATTGAATGTCTCTGTAAGTAGAAAGTGATAGTTAAAGCTTTTTTTATAATCTAGAGAAAATAATGAAATATTTTTTATGCTCCATTATGTGGTATATTTGACGCATTTAATATTTACAGAGGTTAAATAGACAATAAACATCTATTTCTTATGAATTACAGACACGTAATGTTTGTGATTACAAACTCACATACACTAATGTTTGTGAGCTGCATAGGTGCTTAAGAAAAGCAATTCAATCAAGATTCTTGAGCTTCTTAGGTGCGTAAGAAAAGCAATTCAATCCAGTTTTTTGTCTCACAAATAAAGAGTTTTACGAAACAAACATGAAATATGTACAGCTTTTTGAGTTGATATCTATTTGTATGGATGGTAATGTAATACATAAAGAGCCAACACATACAAAAAAACAAAGCCAATGAGAGCTAACGACCCAAAAGCCTGAGGTTATACAACCAAAGAGCTAAAGTTGAGTCTTGAATTATACACAAAATCAATGTAACTCATATATAATCTATTAGAAAAAAATAAATGTCATCTACAATGTTCATCTATGAGTAAGTAATCCACATATACTAATACTTGTTTACCAAAGACACATAATGTCTCAGTAACCTCACTCACTCTTTCTTCCTCCTTAGATCCCTCAACTCCCTCCCGGTTCCCTCCCTGCCGATGATCAACGCAGCACCATGCCTTCATCATCACCGCCACAGGATCTATGTCATGAGATCGATCCTCTTCCCCACCCCGCCAATCTTCTTCGTTGTCTAGAATATGCTCGGCTTGGGCTCCCCATCACCACCCTAGAAACGTCACAATAGGGCATCATGGAGATCTAGATCGGTGTAGGGGATGAACTTGTCTTTCAACTTCTACGCCTCTACATCAATTCTTCCTCTACTGAATGCTTTCTCGTCAACGCCCGTTCCTCCCCTATTGCCACATTGTCTTTCTTCTCCTTTAGCAGTGTCACTGGAGCAATGGAATCTAGTTGAGATGGCAGAGCAATTTTATTCAGGGTACATAGACAGTAGGTGTCTGTTTTCAAAAAATTACTGGCATTAATTATCTATATGACTTGATAGTGCCTATTGTAACTTTTCTACACCATCGGAAAAATTGCAAGATATTCTTGTTATTGGATTTTTTGACATATTTGACTGCTGTAATTTTCTTCAATGTTACACAGATCATAAATGTCTATGTATCAATACTTACAGACATTAAGAATCTTTGTAACTAAATAGTGGTAATTGTAAATTTCATTCTTGCTTTGGAAAACTGTGAAATACTTTTTATATAGGATAATTTGGTGTATCAGATCGATGCAATTTTTATCCAAATGAAACAAACAATGAGTGTCTGTGTTCAATGAATCCCAAACATTTTATGCGAAAAAACAATACTGATTACATATTTTATGCAAGTGCTTTATTTATAATACATCAAATTTTTAATAATATTTATTTTTTAAAATTTATATATAAGTTGCGATAAAAAAATATAATAAAAATCAAACTAGTACAATGGTATAGTAGCTTTTAAACATAAAAATTCTATTTTAAAATTTAACGTAGTTTTCTTTTATAAATTGAAGTAAAAATAAATTGAGTTAAATATTATTGCGAACTCGGAAGAAGAAAAAAATCTTTTGAGAATGAACACTCCACAAGAGTTATTACTTTAATGTATGGAAATTGAGGAGGACTTGCAAAAAATCTTTTGAGAATGAACACTCCACATCCCTAGAGAGAGAGAGAGAATGGCTCCACAAATCCCCGGGCCCAAAAACGCACCACGTGAATTATATTGTTATAAATAAATCGGATTCATGGGGTACAAAAGAAAAATTGCAATTTCAGAATTCAGCTATAAAAAAGGATACATACATACAGTCGGATAATAAAAATAAAAAAAAAAAAGAGGAAGGATATATATATATATATAGAAGAGAGAGGTGAGAGGAGGTCGGAGGTCGGAGGAGGAGGGATAATGTCTAGTCCGGCGGCATTAATAACAAGTCCTCTGTTGCAGGAGGAATCGGGAGGGGAGAGAGGATGGTGGTGGGTGACGACGGACAACAAGGAAGAAGCCAAGAATCAGATTTGGTTCGCCTTACCCATGATCCTTACCAACACTTCTTTCTATTTCATCACTCTCGTCTCCGTCATGTTCGTCGGCCACCTCGGCGAGCTCCCACTCGCCGCCGCTAACCTCGCCAACTCCTGGGCCAGCGTCTCCGGCCTCTCCTTCATGGTACGCCGCACCCTCCCTCCATCACAATTATTAATCTGATTATTATTATTATTATTATTATTCAACGCTTTCATTTTCATCTCCCATTAATTATTTATTTATTTAATGCTCTGATCTTCTTTTTTATGTTGAGCTATTAATTATTACTTACCTATTTCAACCTTTAATCTAAACTATTTGAATAAATAAATAAATAATTAGGATTCATGATTTTTATCAAGCGCTTTAGATCCACAGCTTCCCACCTGCTAGCTGCTTCAATTCATAACCACACATATATCCAGGGGATGTGGCGAATGGACAAAGATGGCTTTGATATGTTGTCTTTTGTTATTTATGGTGGGACAATGAATATTAAAGTTTTATATAAAATTCTAATGGTGGGTGTAAATTAGTTTAAAAATTATCAAAACTCTAATCTCGAACCCATCGACTGGCAGATCTAGTTGTAAAAATTAAAGATTGCCCCCAACCTCCACTACTTTGATATTGTGCCCAGCCCAACCCATCATCCGCCCAATCAATCCAGTGCAGTTTTAAAAAACGGTGGGGTTCTAGTGACACCGGAGTACGGTGCCACTCCAGTGCCACTGGCATTTTGGGGCACCTCTGGTACTCTGTTCGCAAAATTGACGGTTCTTTCCCCTCCTAACCCACCCCCTAAACCTCCCACCCTACCCCCACCCCCACCCTCCACTACTTTGATATTATGCCCAGCCCAACCCATCATCCGCCCAATTAAGTTCATTGCAGTTTTAAAAATACAAAATATCTTCCTCTAGTTCCTGGTTGAGGTTCTCAATTTTTTCAAATTTTCTTCTTGTCTAGCTTCTTCCATAATTGTACGGCCCGTAGATCGTAGCGCACCTCTCCCCCAGTTTCAATTCTTATTGCTTGTAAAATTTGTTATTATGATTTTGTATGGAGTAGTTTAAACCCCAATGAATATGAACATGAGGCATGTCCACATTCATCGCTAGTGTGGTCTAGCTTAAAAGCGAATTGAATAAGTCCCCAAACAAACAAAAAATTCAATTTATTTACGCCGGGCTAGACCAAATGATAAGGCCTACTAAAGAGGCGGTAAACGTCACCGAAAGTTAGGGTACTACCGAATACCGATTGATTATTGATACGGAGTATTTGTCTATTTGAGCCCCATTTGTCTCCCACTTCTTTTTCCACCACTCAATTTGATTTTATTTTTATTTATTAAATTTTTTAGTCTCTTTCCTTTTTTATGGTTATGGAGGGGTGGGGGACAAATGGGGTACACCTTTGGTGTACTTCTAGCATTTTTCTTGTCTATTTGATAAGTATATTTCTATACTTCTAGCATCCGTCTCAAAACAAAAATCACACATTTTGATTTGTACAATTTTTTTTATCACAAATAGTAAAAAAAGAATATTTTTTTTATAGTTTAAATTTATTAAAATTAGATTTATTTCAAAATATAATTTTGAAATATAAAACTTTTATAATATTTAATTATTTTAAATTATATTTAACTCGAGGTCAAACTATTTCCAAATATTATTTGGGACAGACGAATTGGTATTTAAATTATATTTAACTCGAGGTCAAAGTGTAAAAAATGTACATGTATAGCTTAGTTTTGTTAAATCTTTGATGAATTGGAGCATATATCACCAAACAATACTAGCTATAGAGATAGAAAGAAGGATGAAATGTAGAGTGCTAGTATTTTTAGTCCATTATTTATGTGCATCTAAAAACACTAAAAATGATTCTTCTAATTTCACAGAAAAGATAAATTGTTTGGTGGAACTAAAGGTTACATGCCAATTTATCAATCTTCTACTCTGTAAAATATTATTTTTAAAATTTTTAGACAAATATTACTTAATTAGTTTTTTTTATCAATGAGAAGCTCCATTAATTGTTATATGGACCAAGGCCAATGTTATAAAAGGGACCCTCTCATTGATTGAAATCATGGGAAAAGAAGTGTGATTTAAAAGGAAGGGTGAGGCGTGTTATATATTTTAGTGTAATTGGAAAAACTACGACCAATGGTATCCTAATAATCATCAAAGAAGTTTGGTGATGCGGAGTGCACGCTTCATTGAGTTTGTTACGATATAAAACCCGTTACACCAGGGGTTCCAAGGGGGCAGCGCCCCCTTGGCGGGGGTTCAGGGGCAGCGCCCCCGAGCAGGGTTCAAGGGGCGGCAGCCCCTACGGGGTCCAAGGGGCAGAGCCCCTGGCTGGGGTCGAGATGCCAGGTCAGCTCGGTGCTATGTTAAAAAATTCAATTAGAATTTTAATTCTGAATTTTCTTTAAAAGAAAATTCGATGGATAGGACCGAATTTTGAAGAAGAAACTTCCGCGCGAAGAGTTGCGTGCTTTGGGTAATAGCCGCGAATGGTGTCTTCTCCTTCTCACCCCTAGTCTATAAAATCCCCCTGGGCATGGTCGAATTTCGTTGTTGTTTTTTTTTAGACACAGCAATTCTCATATTTCGTTCTTGATACTTTCGAGTTTTATCCGATTGATTTTTGGAGTGAACAACCAAAATATTCAATCTGAGAGTGTTTACACAACTCTCGATTCATCCAAGTTATCATTAATTTCCCCAACAAGGCGTATGGATTATTCATCCAGAGGTTAAATATGAATCTTAGTGTCACTCAAATTAAAAATTAATTAATGTTCATGTACAATACCCAAACAAAAAAAATTCGGCATGCACTTAATTAAAAAGCATAGAGAAGATAATCTTTTTTGAGTCTACAATCATAAAGTTGAGCTTAAATCTTAGTTGAGGCTAGTCATTGACAAAAAAAGAAAAAAATGGGTGGTCAATATTTATTTAAAAGAAAAAGAAAGGTTGTGGTCGATCTCGTAGACTTCATATTTTTTTATTTTATTAAAAATGTAAAATTTAATTTAGGATAACTTTTTAAAAAAGTGACAAAAGTAGTTTGATATGGGAAGGAATTTTTAGTCGTCCCTCCGACCCATAAGAAATTCTACCTTTGACTTGATACGTATAATAGAAAACTAGAACTGTATGGTTAAAGTGATGATACCTATGAAAATAAGATGATAAGAGCCACAATTTTTTTTTCTAATACCGAAAACTAGAATTTTTTTTAAAATTTGATTTAAGCTTACTCCTTATTTGACCAGCATTTAGTTTCACCGTTTCAAAAAAACATAATTTTATTTTTGTTTTAGGGTACATTTGATATACTCCAAGTGAAATTCCGGTAACACTCTCCAAAAAATAATGTTAGATATGAGAATCCCGAGTCCCGACATCATGTCATCATCGATCGGAGATCCTTGTGAAGAAAGTAGATAAAGTCTTAAATTCTTAATTAATTGTATCTACGTTAGGTAGGGCCAGACCAAAAACAATTAACGTAAGTGGATAGGATTTATCATTGTAAAGGGTGGAAACGGAAAAAAGCGTGACATACGGTCAAGGCTGGCTAGGGCCCCGCCGGGCATGAGTCGCGGCGACGGGCAACTGTGGGTGGGTGGGTGGGCGGGCGACTGTTTCCAGCATGTCCTTTTCGACGCCATTAATGTTGTATCCACTGTCGGATCCATACCGAATATCCAATATTCCAATGTTTTTTTTCTTTAAAAAGAAACCTTTTAATTTACAACTATTTTAAGAATAATTGTATACAACTAAAATATGTACTCCTGTAAATACTCAATACCATATTCAATAAGTCATCCCATTACTTCATCTGTTCCTTAAAATACTTCTTTTTTTAATATTTTGTTTTCCTTAAATCATTTTTATTTCTTTTAAAAAACCAATTTGAATACTACAGTTTCTTACTCTACCCATCACTTCATATTTTCTCACTAATAATCTATCTATCACATCTTACTTTTACCCCATTACATTAAACACAAAATTGGAAAGTCAACCACAAATATTCAGTCCTTATTTCTCTTAAAAGTCAAAATACGAACCATTTTATGAAACAGAGACACTATAACTTAAATAATAAACATATTTAGTACAAGGAGAACTAAAAATAATGTTTGTCAAACAAAAAATATTCTTAAAAAAATTATTGCAAAATATATACCCTTCCATTTCATTATGTTTGTCATCCATTAATTATATAGTCAAACTATTATTTTTAAAAAAACATTTTCATCTATCATTTCTAAAATAATATAGGTGTTTATATATCTTTTGGTTGGTATAAATTTTGATGTAATTTTAAAAGCGAACCTTTTATTTTTAAAGTTTACATTAGTCTTTTGAAAAATTAAATTGAAAATAATTTTAGTCAAATATAATGCATCATAAATTGAAATGAGACAAAAATAGCGGGACAATGGGACTAATATTCAAAATAAACTAAAAATATCTAATATTCATTCCTATGTAGAGTATTTGTCCGGTTTCTGTTTTTCTGACTCGCACTAGAGAACCATTAATCGTTATTCAAAGTAAAATTGTACAAAGTATTATTTATTAGTTCAATGAATTAATATTTTGAAAAATGTATACAAAATAAATGTAATGAAATTATTTTTATAATAACATGCAATATCATTTTTATTTAATTCATTATCAAAATTTGTTTAGTTTGACTCAAGAAAGTTAAAATGAACAAATACTTTGACTTTAAAATGGAGTAGCTAAAAGATTCACATTTTGACATTTTTAAATCACAATGTGGCACCCTTTGACCGTGAATTGTGGAAAAAATATATTTAGTTATAATGTAAATTTAGAAAATTTGGTTTATTTTAAAAATATAGTTTTGAAATATCAAAAATTTATAATATTTAATTATTTTAAATTATAATTAATATATGGTCGAATGGTGTCACAGTTTGACCCAAAAAGTTGAACGATGATAATTTTTAAGAACTGATAGAGTAAATTTAAGGGTTTGACCTTTAATTTGGGGGTAGTAACTAGTAAGTTACTACTCGGTTCTTGACATGGTATAAAACACTGTGGACCATTTGTTTTTGTGGTAACTTAAAACGTACTCGTAGTAAGTTGAAAAGAGAATGAAGATGGTGTTTGGCCATGCGGGCCATCTACGGGTTTGACTTTTTATATTTGGGTGACCATTGTATTGTTATGTCTGGGATATCCTATTTTCCTTGTGGAGGAGTAGATATGTGATATTTTGGCTAAAATCTAGCACTAGTCCTTCAACTTTATGATTGTGGACGATTAGTCTTTCAACTTTCAAAAATTTATTAATAGTCTTTCAACTTTATAAGTGGTGTACGATTGGTCCTTCAAGTTTCAAAAGTCCATAAGTAGCCCTTTTAGTACACGTTAGCCCTCCAAATAAAGTCCTTTTGACAGTAAACATTAAAAGCTAAATGGAATACTAGTTTTACATAATACGAATAAATTCCACTAGGTACAACTCCATATTATATGGAACTAATACTCCATTTAGCTTTTGGCATTTACTGTCAAAAGGACCTCATCTGGAGGGTCCACGTATACTTGAAAGACTACTTCTGCACTTTTGAAACTTGAAGAATCAATCGTGCATAACTCATAAAGTTGAAGGATATTTATGGACTTTTGAAACTTGAAGGATGAATCGTGCACAACTCATAAAGTTGAAGGGCCAATATCGAGTTTAGTCTGGGTTAACTCATGTGTTTGTCTCAAGCAATACTTAAAAATGACTTTGGTTATAAGCTCATCACCGGGCCCCCAAACCTCTTCCAAATACTCCTTATGGCAAGTATTTCATGTATAGTTTGGTCTTTGGTGCATACAAGAAATTTTCTTCAAGAAGGTGTGATTTATGAAAAAAGAAGAAGGAACACAAAACATATGGATGTTCATTTCATTTTAGATCATAGTAGGAGAGTATATATTTCATACATTTCAAAATGAACATTTTTAGCAAAAATATATGCATATATTAAAATGATGATATTTGGATGGTACTGCAATAGGTTGGCCTAAGTGGTGCACTTGAGACCCTTTGTGGACAAGGATATGGCGCCAAGTTGTACAGGATGATGGGGATTTACCTCCAGACGGCGTGCATCATATCATTTCTTTCGAGTGTTATCATATCCGCGGTGTGGTGGTTTTCGGAACACATCTTGGTTTTACTGCAACAAGACCCTGAAATTGCAAAACTTTCCGGCCTGTACCTCAAGTTTTTCATACCGGGATTGTTCGCCTACGGGTTTTTGCAAAACTTGTTGAGGTTTATGCAGACACAGAGAGTCGTTCTGCCATTGGTCATGAGCTCGATCGTGCCATTGACCATCCAGGTCGGCCTCACATATGTGTTGGTTCGGTTCACAAGCCTGGGTTTCGCAGGGGCACCATTGGCCGCATCTATTTCGTTGTGGCTGTCGTTTCTCATGCTGGCAGGGTACGTGCTGTTTTCGGTGAAATTCAAGAACACTTGGGAGGGTTTTTCGTCGGAGTCGTTTAGCTATTTCTTTGTAACAATGAGGCTTGCTCTGCCCTCTGCTGCCATGGTGTGCATGGAGTATTGGGCTTTCGAGCTGCTAGTGTTGTTGGCGGGCATTATGCCAAACTCGGAAATAACGACTTCTCTTATTGGGATGTGCGTGAACACGGAAGCGATTGCGTACATGATCGCGTATGGTCTCAACGCGACTGCGAGCACGAGAGTGTCGAACGAGTTGGGAGCGGGAAGGCCGGAGAGAGCTAAGCAAGCCGTGGCCGTCACATTCATGCTGTGCATCCTTCTGGCTACGGCCACGGCGCTTTCCCTGGTGTTTGGCCACAACGTTTGGGCTGGCCTCTTCAGTGATAGCGCGGTCGTCATATCAAATTTCGGTTCGATGGCGCCCCTTCTGGTCATCTCCTTCCTTTTTGACTTTTTCCAAGGAATCTTATCAGGTCAGGCATCTATCCATCAATCTAGACGTATATATTTGATCTTCTTCTTCTCCTCCTCCTCACTAATATGGGAGCATTTGTGTTTCTTTTCTTTCAAGCAGCGGTGGCGAGGGGGTGCGGGTGGCAGCACTTGGCTGTGGGCATAAACCTGGGATCGTTTTATTTCATTGGAATGCCAATTGCGGCAGTTTTGGCATTCAAGTTTAAACTCTATGTGAAGGTAAGAAGCATTTAATTTAGAGTTCCAACTGTGTTAAGTTAATGTAGAGAGATTCTGCGTGTGACTAATGAGGAAAAACGTACGTACTGTGGGCACAGGGGTTATGGATTGGGTTGATCTGCGGCCTGGCTTCGCAGTCGTCCGGTTTGTTGTTGCTCTCCATCTTCAGGAAGTGGGACAGAGTGGAGATCTCCACTATGCCTGAAAAGGATAACAACAAGGCGGCATTGCTGACTTGAATCAAACTTCTTATTACATTCATGCTGGATTATTTTGGGAGCATTCAAATCCCAACTCCAATGCATGGCGGCGGCTCTTCTCCTCTCTCGCTCTCTCTCCCCAAGGAAATCTGTAATGTATGATGAAATAATTGGTTTACAAAGAGACCAAACTGTGTTAGTCGCTGAATGATCAGTGGTGTTGATCACCCAAAATAAAGGCCTAGCTAGTTTGGTATTGTTGTGGTTTTTGGGTTATCAAAAGTTGGATACAAATCCGGGTTGATTTTTTTTATGTAGAATTATTACTCGCTACTGATTTTAGCTATTCACTATTCTATTTAATTAGAATGTTCAAAATGAGTTAGCATCAAATTGGTATTTGTTGTTAGAATGAATGCCGTTTACTATGGGGTGAATAGTGAATCACGAGAATGTTGGTAAATTTTCGCGAAATAAAATCGTAGGAAAAAAATTAATTGCGGAACTAAAAAAGCATAAGGAAAGTATACACTGATATACACTGGTTCACCATAACGTGTGGCTACGTCCAGTCTCCCGAGAGACTCTTTCGAGCTACACTAATTCCGTTAAGCTGACGAGTACTTAACAAACCGTTACAACCTGAGAACTCGAGTCACACGAGCTTCAACACACTTACTTAGAGATATCGCAGTCCAAGACTTCAACCTGAAGGAATATACTTTTCCTTCGTACAACCAAGGGAGCAAACCTCCCTTTAAGTGTTTACAACACTCAATCACTCAATAACAAAAACTCTCTTAAAGAGTAGAATATCAGTAAATTAATTTAGATCAAGAACACACTCAATTCCTCAAGAAAATGACTCTAAAAAGCTATGTAAAAAGTTTATGGAATGATGCAAAGTAAAGTTATGAAATGTGTGAGGAATGGTTGTGAAAAGTAGACCCAAAAGACCCCTTCTTACACCCAAAAACAAGGTGCAACGGTTGGGAGACGATTGGGGTCGATTGGCATGATTTGTGGAAAACAAATCAAAAGTGAATCTGCTGAAATCTAGCCTAACATCGATGATCATATAGTAACCACCGCTATTTTGGCATAGACTTTCCTTTGGAAATGGCAAACGGTCATGAGAATATTGATGTTTTGAAGGCTACATCGATGTTGGGGTTGTTGACTTTCAATAATGGAAACATTTTGTCTTAAATATCCGAACACTCATTTGAAAACATTGATGTTCACCAATGAACATCATTGTTCAAAAACCTACTGCCAAAAACTAATGTGAGCCAATCTGGCCAAACCATGGGTGTTCAAAGTCCAACATCGGTGTTTTGAAACCTACTTCCATGGCCAAAACATCGATGTTTAATGTCCAACATCATTGTTGGGTTTGGACGCCAGAACCATGGTTTGTCAGTCAACGCCGAAAACCGATGTTAAAAATCAATGTTTCCCAAATTAAAAACCAAGTATTGGAAACACTTATTTAATGTATTTTAGGTAGAAAAAAAGATAAAAACTTAAAAACCATGTCATTTAGGTGAAAACCATGGATGACCAAGTTAAAAGTGGTTTTCATGGTTTTTGAGAAAAATCCAAAAACGAAAGGTGGTTTTTAGAATGTTTTTATTGGAAAACCATTTAGATATACTCTGAAGTAAAAACCAATTATAAAACTTAAAAACCACTTTGTTGTTTCAGACACCAAAACCGATACCAAAAATCAGTGCCGAAAGTCGATAACTAACGCCGAATATCAAAGGTTATGGTTTTTGAAGACTAATCATTTGGAAAACCTTTAAAGGTGTCCAGAAGCAAAAAAAAGATAAAAAATCAAAAACCATTTGGCTAAATTCATTGCCAATAACGAATGCCAAAAACCGAATGCCATAGCCGAACATCGATAACCTCCAACGGCTAATTTAGCCGTTACACATTTCAAAATAATTCTTTAATTATTTTTTTATAAATATCAAACCCAATCTTCAATCTTCTTCACATCTTTCCTTTCTTCAAACTCCAATTCTCAATCTTCTTCACATCTTTCATTTCTTCAATTTTTGTTAACATGAATCCCTCCGTCTCCAGTTTTTTCCCCGACGATCTCGAGCCAAACGAGTACGCGATGTGGATCTTCCAACAATACGGGAGTAATCCAAGGTTGTTCGAAACGCAACCATTAATGAACCTCTACCAGGCGTACTCAGATCCGGAGACTCAACCGGAACCATCGGGAACAAAAAAAGTGCACGCTGGAAGAGTCATAAAGCAAAAGGCGACAAACCAATGACCAAGGCGGCACGATCAATCAAAAAGTGGACGCCGGAGGAAGAGTTCTTTGTGGCGTCGGCTTGGGTTGACGTCTCCGAGCATCCTATCGTTGGTAAAAAGTATATGTTTTCTAATATATTTTTGTTCTTATCTATATATTTGTGTTAAAAAAATTTCGTTCAATTATATACTTTTTAAAGGTTCAGAGCAAACGAAGGATGCGATGTGGGATCGTATCGAGGAGAAGTTCTTTGCAACGATGAACAAGGACGCCTTGTATCGTACCCGGGACCAACTCACTTCGAAATCGGGCCACATCAACCGTAAATTCTGAAAGTTTATTGGAGTTTACGAGGAATGGTCTCGGTCCCGGAAGAGCGGGATGAACGACGTCGATGTTCTCCGGATTGCCACGGCCAGGTATCAATTAAGAAGACGGGCACCAAGGTAAACTGCCCATTGATCTTTGGAGAATTTTAAGCCGTTCCTATGGAAACAACTCAACAAATCCCGGTGTTGAGGTTGAGGTCGATGATACTATTGGTTCGTCCGTACAAAGGCCTCCCTTCGACGTAGACGATTCCGATGACAAGGATCCCATTCCACGGACAATCAGAAGAAAGAAGGCAAAATCCATTGCCTCGGGTTCTGGAAGGTCCGACTCTATTTCTTCTCATGACGATATCAGTCGTGCAATGGTTGAACAACTTCAATTTGTGTGTTCAATATTAGAGAAGAAGAGAGGGAGAGAAGAAAGCAAGAGAAGGAAGAGATCAAAATAATGGGAACCGACCTTGATACGTTATCAGACTTCAAACGTATGATCTTCGAAAGAAGACAAAAAGAGATCAATGCTAAATATAATTTACCTTAGTTTTTATTAATGTATTTTTTATGAATTATTCTCGTTTTAATTTTATTAATTTAATGAATGTAATTTTTTTGAATTTTTCTCATTTCAATTTAATTAAATAATTAAAAAATTAAATTTATTAATTTACTTTTAGAAGATGTTTATTTAAAATGAAAAATAAAGGTTTGAAGCCTCAATTTGAAGCCACGGGCTTCAAACCCATTTCCAGTGAATCTATGAAATAAGTTAAAGCTGACTTGGCGGAGAGAAACTTTGAAGCCTCGATTTGAAGCCCCGAGGCTTCATACGTATTTCGAGTGCTCTAAATATTTCAATCTATGATGAATAAAGTACTCACAGTATAACAATTTATACATTCCTCTCAACTTATGTAATTTTAGAGAGTTATCAAACTAATTAGGGTTTTTTGAACGTGTGTCTTTCCACTCAAGAAAAGCTAACCTTAACTGCATATGTATCCCGTTTGGATTGTTACAAGACATTAATGGCCTACTTCCGTTTCCATTTGTCCCCCTCTTTAATTAATATGTGGCTTCCTCCTCGGGCATTCGGTTTCTTACATTAATATCTTATATATATATTCATCTTTAATTTTTTCATTTTTTAGTGTTCATTAAAAAGGAAGTATAAATTGTTGTGTTCTTCAATTAGGCAAAAAATTATAAAATTATTATTAGTTCAAACACAACAAAGCGCACAAACCTAGCTATGCTAAGCTGGCGAGGCAGTAACAAATTAAATATGGCTCAACAAAAACATTGCTGTTGTTGTACTAGTTTTTATTTCTCAACGGTGTTGGTTTTCCTCGTCTCCTCCATGTTGTTATCTTCATATAATAACGCCATGGAATTCGATGTTGGTGGCAACGAGGGGTGGGTTGAAAACCCTTCCGAAAGTTATAACCAATGGGCTGCCCGTATGAGATTTCAAGTTAATGACACTCTATGTAAGTCTCTTCTAAATTTGGAACCCTATTCGAATTTGAATACGGGCATTGTTCGCAATAGTTTTAACATTTAAAAATTGTTATCTCATGAAATATAACATTTCGTTCCAAAATCACTGTGAATTTTTAAAAAATTGTCCAAAACATTATCATTACTCTTTCCGTCCAAAAATTTCTTTTCCGGTTTGACTTGACACAGAGATTAAGAAAGATTAAAAAGCATAAAGATTTTTCATGTGTTGCTCTTGATCTGGTAGAATAAAGCAAATAGTGTATGGAAAAAGTATGGATATAATGGCGCATTCATTAACAATATGTTTGGTTCAAAGAATTTGAAAGGGAAAGGAAAATAAAATGAGAAAGAATTTTTTTGTTTGGTGAGAGGAAAAGAAAAAAAATGGAAAGAAAAAAAAATTAGAAAGCAAAATGTACTAAGAGGAAGAAAAACCAAATCCGTCTCATTCTGGTGAGGAAAATGAGGAAAACTCAATTTCTTTCCTTTCCATTCAAAAATCACTATGTCCGGTAGGTAGTGAAAATCCTCAATGTGATAGCTAAAAATAAGATATGATTGACAGATTATTAGTAAAAAGATATTATGTAATAAGTAAAGTAAGAATTAGTATGGATAAAAACAATTTTTTTTATAGAATGGAGGGTGAGGGTCCCTCCATTCCCCAAATCGTAAACAATTGGGGAGAAGGGCTCCCTGGCCTTGATTTGGAAACTCGTCTGTGCCAATGCCATGTCAGAGCCCACTCGGCTTGACTCTTCTATCTAAACATAGTTGTGGGGTTTAAAAATACTAGACATCATTAAAACAAACCATAATTGGCAAGATGTACTGATGTAGTAATTAAATTACAATACCGATTTATATTGATATACAAAATGAAAGTAGGGTCGTAAAACTTTACACTGACATTTTGTATCAATGTAAACAATGAATATCACACTTACATAGACACAAAACATTAGTGTTTATATTTTGGGTACAATCTTTTAATGTACTTTTTGGTTTGGACTACGAGTAGATTTATTCATATTAGATTGTGAAATTTGCACTAAATAGAATTAAAACATAATGACTTTCTTAATGTAGGACTTAAACTATTTTATTCCCTAAATAAGAGTTAATAATGCCCTAGTGGAAGAAATAATGTCCAGTAATGATGGACATTTAGTTGAATAATGACTTCTTGATAATGACTAAAGATCCTACATTGAGAAATAAAAACATATGGTCCTATATTAGGAAAGTCATTATGTTTTGGTCCTATTTAGGTAAATTTCTCTATTAGATTTGGTTGCCCTGAAGTGTTTAGGTACGAGGAAGGACGTGATTCGGTGTTGGAGGTGGAGGAGGGAGATTATGACAAGTGTAACACCGACACCCCTATCCGCAAAATGGGCGATGGATATTCAGTTTTCGAGTTGGACAGATTCGGATCCTTTCATTTCATCTCTGGAAATCGAGAAAGTTGTGAAAAGGGACAAAAGATTGTGGTTGTTGTTGTCACGGTGAGAAACCAAAGCACTCCCGTCACCGCTCCGGTGGCTAAGGGTTGTCCCTCAACGGCAAAGGCATCACCGCCAGTAACTCCGGTGGAAGAGTCCCCTCCGACTCCGTCCGATCCCGTCACTGCTCCGGCAGCCAGGGGGTGTCCCTCAACGGCAAAGGCACCACCCCCGGTTGCGCCGCCTATAACTCCGCCGGAAGTGTCCCCTCCGACTCCGTCCGATGCCACTTCTTATGGGTGCCCGAACACTCCACCTGCCAATGTTGCACCAGTAGCAGAGCCTCCTAACAAAGGGTCCCCGGTTCTTCCCCCAAACACTACATCTTCGGATGTTGCACCGGTGGCAGAACCTGATGAAGTGGCCTCGAATATTTCGCCGCCATCACCCCCTCCGGGAGAGGGTTGCAACATTTCAGACATCCGAAGTGATCCAGCCAATGTTCCCCGCAAACCGCCAAAGTCGTTTGCGGCAGCACCAGCGGGAACTCGAATTTCAGTGGCCTTGGTTGTGGCCATCTTGCTTACCATATGCATATAGTAAGATATGGAGAACTCATTTCTTCTTTAAAAACACATATATATTCGACTTTCATGTACACAAAGTATTCTCGGGGATAAGATTCTCCTAATAATACCATGCAACTTCTTTAGTGTAATCTTTCTGTTAACATTAATGAAATTGCTCACTTTTTGAAGTTCATTGCATAATCAGAATTTGGTACAACATTAAAACCAAGTGTCTTTTTTAATAAATAAATAAATAAATATTCCAGGGAGCAAGATGAAAGATAGGCTGGTACACATGCATTACAGAATGCAGAGGCTATGATTAAATAGATCTCATCAAAAGATCCACCACCGTCTTTGCCTGTGGGGTTTCTGCACCAAGTTATCAAATTGATCATAATTAGTTGGAAGAAAGTGAGAGCTTAGGGTCTCAAGATAACTAACTGTACAGAAACATCATCTTTATTTATCTTCATAATCATTTCTAAGATTGGTTGGTTTGCAACATGAAACCAGTTTGGGATCAGCTAATCGAATGCTCGTGTAATGGACTGCAATTAAAGAAAAAATGGCCTCTGAATTTGCCTAACAAGTAAACTAGATGTACTGCACACGATACCCTAACAAAGGGAATCCATCTGTTATGAAGAAATCACCCTCAATAGACAAATAAACAAATAAATAAATAAACAAGTGTATGTCTTGATTCGAAATCATGAAACATATCACATGCAAAACGTTTCCCGATGACACCACTCATTAAGTCCACTCATTCTGATCACTTGATACCAAATTATTTTATTTTAATACAAAGTACTTGACAATTCTGATTTCTGATTAATTAATGCTCCCTCTGTCACCCCAAAATTTGTCTTCACTTTCCTTTTTGAGACATTCCAAAATAAAGATCTCATCCTTGCGAAAAAATGGCGGTTCATATTATTTCTCTACCCTCTACATAAATCTTAACAGCACAATTTCACATTTTCTAAAAACCCATAAATAACTAAATAGGAACTTGAATTTGGGGAGGAGGTATATGGATCAACCAATCACAATCATGACAGTGTGGCAAAGGTGAGGAAATTGTGATGAAAGGCTATTGTTGTGTAACACAAAATGAGTAGAGCAATAGGGAACGTTTTAAGTCATAGCCTTGATGTAATAAGGTGGAGAAAAAGATATAGATAAGTTTTGTGATAAAGCAAAGTAAATGCACCTTTTGGGCATCATTCTTTACTAAAATCGGCCGAGAAAGCACACTATTGTCAACATTCTGAAGGTATGGCCGCACCTTCTCTTCCAGCAATTTGTTCAGCTGTTCATTGAATGTTAGGGGTTACCACTAGGAGAAATTCATCAATCAAAAAACTTAGCAACAGATAAAAGTTGCATCAAGCCACTAAATAATTGCAAACATCTGAGGCAAGAGTGCAAAACAAGGGAATGCACTGTTTTTTTTTTTGAAACAAGGGAATGCACTGTTAATCCACAAAATATCCATAATTGTAGCAATATGCCAAAAACAACATAGGATGGTTCTATATTACACATAGGAAAGGCAAATCAAAAGTTAATGTTGACTAGGAGCAGAGGAACAAATTTTACATCATCCAGACAAGAAATGGTGCAGCAGAAAGAAAAAAAAGGTAAGAACGATAATCTAAAGAGACTGGCCTTTTCTTCCCGCCACTTAGCTTCCCACTGAGCATCCAGCATCTGCTCTGCAATTTCTCTCTGGGCATTAAGAAGAACCGTCATTTCATAGAATCTTGTTGGATCTTTGAGATCTTCTTCACTCCAAGAAGATGAACTGAGTGGAAGGTTCAACTCCTGCAGGCGGTTTCATTATAGAATCATTAACAAACATAGATCTTTTCTAAATATCACACAACACATTACATAGAAATACCTAAGCTTTCCAAATTTCATATGGCTCATTGTAAGATTGGTAAGCATAAACTAGCAGACATAATAACTAAATTGGCCTAGTCAACCATGGTTAAGGCCAATGCAAACATTGGGCCCATAATCTTCCAAAATGGTCCTTTTAACCTTACATTTCTCTTTCCCTAATTCCCTTATTTCATATCCACCCTGAATAGCGTGCAAAGTCAGCATGATACAAAAAAACCAAACACACCTAACACTTGGAAGTAGGGTTGTAAACAAATCTAATCATTCAAAAAAATATGAATATAAATCCAGATCAGATTCACATTTTGATTTGAATAGATTTCAAATAGGAATATGAATACATGCACATTCAATTCAAATAATATTCTAATATTGGGTATTAAATACTAAAATAAAATTTCATATCTACTACACACATATATCAATACATACATACATATATACACACACACACACAATTGCAAATACACCATTTATTCTTAAAAAATTACATTTTAAAACTTATGCTTGTTCCAAAAACAAAGTATTTGTACCGAGAAATTTAATACTCATTATATTTTGTCTCCAACAAAGTGTCCCGATCAAGTTGAATATATTAAATATGGCTAAACCAACAACATGACCCCAGACCCTCAAAGACTCCCACCCATTGCAGGGCAAGGGGGCTCGGATGTACTATGTTTAAAAAGTAGAATGACTGTTTAAAGATGACCCATGATGAACGTCGAAAGTTAAATGGACTAATTGCTACTTTACTATTAAAGAAGTGCAGACATTTAAAGAGCCATTTTGCTTTATTCCATCATAGCCCAAAGCCAAAAATAGTGATTCTTTGGCTCCATTAGAGAAGATGGAAATAAATAAAGCAAAACCAATAAATGAATTTTAAAATATAGCTATAAACTCTTGTTTTTTACTATTATACTTTGGTAAACCGTGAGTTTAGTGTACTAAAAGTTTCATGAAATATTAAATTTTGAATACTAATATTCAAATCGAATCAAATATACACAAATAAGATAGTCAGTTAGAATACGATTTGATTTTGAGATTCGAAAATTAAATGAATATGAATTAAAATCCTCTACATTAATCAAATTTGAATCGAATATCTCAGATTTGATCCAATTTATTTAAAACCCTGTGTAGAAGTGTTCTGAACTACCTTCTTGATAGAAGTAAGGCGAATGCACCGGATAAACTAAAGACCAGTATTATTAATCCTGGTCATAAATCAATAGAAATTTACCCCTCTTTGAGAATTGTAATAGCAGAATTATTTTCTTGAAGTTATAGTAATTCAATCATGAAAAGCTTAGAAGTGGTCGCATTTAAATCAAATCAAGCAAATAGACTTACTCCCCAATCTCGGGGACGTGGCGGAGGGTCAAGCTTCATTACTTCAGCTTCTAGCACCTTCTTAGCTCTGTAATAAGGGATATTTTTTACAACAACAGGATCATCCCTAGCACGGACAGGATCGATTGACATCAAGGCCTGAAATAAAAGAGTCAATGAAAATATGTGCAATACATTCATGAGACATGTATCACAAGAAGTCACCATACATCTTGCAAGTACTCCCACCCTGGCTTCCGCTTGGCAACCTCATCCCTCAGTTGATCATATCGCATAGATTCCTAGAGCATTGAATAAGAAACACCATGTGTTGCCAACGCATTCAGGAATTCACAACAAATCAGATTTAAAAAGCTCCAATATGTGAAATGTATCTTGCATCAGAACAAGTTGAGATTTTGCATATAAATTTTAAACTCTATCATGTTATTCATTTTCAAATTTTTAAAAAGCTAATTTACTAGAAAAAATTAAACTAAACTTTCTAGTAATGATGTAAATGTTAATTGGAGAAGCATAGAATAATTATCATGTTAATTAAGTGAATACAATGGTCATTAGACTCATTACATAGGACAAGTCTTCCTAGTATTCTTGGCAAGTCATGAACCTTCTAAACTGGTGATAAATTTACTATCTTCATGTGTGTGTGTGTGTGTGTGTGTATTTTGGAAGACTATACGCTCGTTTGATCTTGATCTTGATAAGAGTAACGGAGAGGAACAAAGTTGGTCGAATGAGTTGAACTATGTTCAACGAAATGAGTTGAACGAACAACTGATTCGTTTCAATGAGTTTCACTATTTGTTGTTTGTTGTTTGTTGTTTCACAATTCGTTGTTCGTTGAACTAAATGAGTGTAACATAGTGAAACGAAATGAGTTCAATGAACAACTCATTTGAAATGATATATATATATAGGGAATCTGTAATTTGGCATCGTAACACCAGTGGTTTTAGGGCAGCTCCGGTGCTCTGTTTGTAAAATTGATGGTTCCTACCCTAGCTCTGTTTGTAATGTCACACCAAAATAAAATAACACCACTTCGTGACACCAGTGGTTTTAGGGCACCTCAAGTGCATCGTAACCCCTAAGTCTAACCCCCTGACCCATCAATTTCACCCCGCCCCACCCTAGACCCCCCTGCACCCCCCTGGATCGCCGATTTGTGGGCCCCAAAATCGGTGATCTAGGGGGTGCAGGGGTGCAGGGGTGCTGGGGTAGGGGCGGGGTTAAATTGATAGGTCGGGGGGTTAGGGAGGGGTAGGAATCATCAATTTTACGAACGGAGCACCGTAGGTGCCCCAAAACCACTGATGTCACGAAGTGTTGTGATTCTTTTAGTGTGACATTACAGATTCCCATATACATACATACATAATACATACATACATACATATATGTGTGTGTGTGTGTGTGTGTGTGTGTAGGGGTCGGTTCACGTGAGAATGCACCTTGGTGAAAGAAATAAGAATAAAATCTAGCCTTTGGATCTGATGCATCGTGCGGCTCAGATTGCATCCTGCGCTTAGATTTTGAGATGGTGCATTTTCAAAGGATTTTGGTGCATTTCGACATGACGCATTTTCAAACCATTTTGGTGCACCTAATTTTGATGCAATCCTGACCTTTAGACCTCACAATCTAAAGCGTCAAATTCATTCTTATTTCTTTCATAAGATCGCATTCTCACCAGAACCAAAATCTATATATGTATATGTGTTTGTGTGTGTGTATATATATATAGAGAGAGAGAGAGAGAGAGAGAGAGACACACACACACATATATACACATACATACATACATACATATATGCATACATACATACATACATATATATATATACATACATATATACATACACACACACACACATATATATATATATATTCATATCATGGCTAGTGGGATTCAACTGGGTTGTTGTTGTTGTATTCATATCATGGCTAACTTGTTACCAAGTAGAACTTATCAGAGTGCAGGCTGGGCCAAATTACGGGTCAGGCCAAGCCGCTACATTATCAGAATTTCGTATATCAGAGCCCGATCTGCCCACATAGCGGGTCTAACATTTGAATGAGGGAAACAATGAACGAAAAAACATGTAGTGAACACAGTCAGCCCAAAACTGTTTAGACGTGCATTTGGAACAAAAGAGCACTTATTACAAACAAGTGGCTGTTTATTTCTTTCAAGTACCCTATTTTAAGATATCTACAGAAGAGGTTTGATGCACGGCCATTCAGAAGCATGTACGGTTTTGAGGCAGCAAAAAAAATAATCCTTAGCATTATCCACTCTCAGTTTACAAACAAAACCTTAAAATTGAGTCTTAATATGGGCAAAATGGCACAAAATGAGGGAAAACTATTTGCATCTACTCTTCATGAAGTATAACTATGTCATGAGAGAGCAATTATCAACTAAAGTGCCAAAATATTGGAAAGATTTAGAACTTGTTCTCTTCAACTTATTTTTATTGGAATCAGATCAGACAAGACCAGATCGGAAATAGCTTTAAATACAAGTACAAGACCAGACAAGATCAGAACCAATCATGTTAGGTGAAGAGAACAAGCCCTTAGATAGACTTAGATACAACAAGACAAGCACCCCAAATGTTAGAGTGAGAAATTTCAAAAAGGTCACTAGCTAGTTTATTAACTTGAAAACTCAAACTAGTGTGATGATGAAATGGAAACTAATAGGACTAGCATTGTAAAAAGGACATATTATGAAACTGGTGATATACTTTCTTCAACATGGAAAGAATGAGCAGTTGACTTCAAACGAAGCTCCTACTCAAAGACACAATGTAGCTGGTGGTATTTAAGTGTCTAATAGGTAAAGATGGAGACCTGGTCAATTACCTATAATCTGTATCATCACCAGAGTCTTATATCCAAAATAATCAGGGACAAATGTTATGGTACAATTTAGTGTTCACGTAATGTTACAAATAGATATTATGTTAAAAGTAAATTTAGGGAGACTTGATCCAGATGATAATGATAGCCTGGGTGTCAAAATGACAGTAACTGATCAAAGGATGGGTCAAGGGTGAAATGCAGTTATCTGCAAGGGTAACATTAATATGATGGGAGTCATGGAAAAATGACGTATGATTAGGATTATCAGTGAGATGACTCACATGATCCCATTGCACTTGAGCCGACCATCCATGTCGATGATGAAGAAAGACAGGTTTTTGTATTACCTGAATTGACGATAGCATAGATAGGAGTAGTTGAAAGCTGAAGACTCTCTTGGTAATTAAGAAACTCGGTTTACTCATATACAGAGAGTGTGACTGCTCCTCCCGTCTTTGTGGTAGCAACATGGAGTTCACTTGGATTTTATATTTTAATGCAAGAATATTTTATCAACTACCAGGCTTCTTACAAAAGTTGCATATGATCCTTTTACCCGGTGCAAACACTTATGCACTTCCAGTAGCAATTTGATTTAAAAGTGCATTGTTGGATGAAGGAGATTGAGGGATGGATGTGATTTCAGTGTGGATCATTCAACTAAATGCATCCTAGAGAGAGGAGATTTCTTAACTAGACAAGAAATGGGATATAGCCTTTTCAAACTCAGAAGTATGACCCGCCAGAGAACTCAGAACTGCCATTTGTTGTTCCCGTAGTCACGTTGTTTTTGTTGGACTTTAATGTCTGGAATAAAAAGACATCATGTTTCTCTTACACACTTTATAATATATGTGTCAGCTTTCCTGACCGGAATACATGAATCCAAGATTGTCAGAGAGGTCCTTAAAAGCTTTGCAAAGACTAACAAGGCATATCATTTCCTTTTTAATTGAACTTTGAATTGGAATGAAAAGTTTAAATCACCACGGAGCCATAGGTTTTTGGCAACCGCATCTTGTGTGAGTCGTTCTTTTACCAAATGATCATATTTACTGATGCTACAGAGACAGTCTTTTATTGTGTTGCTCCAAGCTAGAAACTTTTGACCGGGAGATGGGAAACGTTCTTTCATCAAATGACCCTAATTATCAATGCTACGGAGATAGTGTTTGATTATCTAGTTCCACGCTAGGAACTTTAGTCTGGGACTTAGGCAAAAGTTCTTTCATCTTGTGTGGGTGGTTCTTTCATCAAATGATTGTCGTTTACCACATTTCTAATATCAGTTTACAATGAATTAATGTGACAAGTTTACAATGATCGGTTGAGGGTCTGAAGAGGAGTAGAGGTAGACCTAGAAAGATTTTTATGGAGGTGATTATACATGACCTATAAGTTCGACAATCCAGATCTAACCGAGGATATGACCTTAGATAGGAATGCTTGGAGATCTAGCATTAGATTAGCTAGGTAGACCTGTGGGCCTTAGTTTGTAGTTTCTTCAAGTGCATTTTTTGGCTTAGTCTATAATGTGTGCTTGTGTGTTTTTGGTGCTTTATGCTTTTCGTCTAGTTCTTATAGTCGGCTTGTATGCTTCTTTTGTCTATGATCGTACTTTATTCGTGCTTAAGTGGTTTTTTATTCGTACTTCTATATCTGGAGGTATCCTGGAAAACGCACCTCTACTTCATAGTTGGGGTAAGGTCTGCGTACACACTCCTCAGACCCTGCTTTTGCGGGATTCTAGTGAGTTTGTTGTTTACCATGATTTCATATGGACTAAGTATACAACAATAGAGTTAGTAAAAACATAAAGGAGATTTTGATTTTAAGAAATTTGTCATATTAATGTGTTTGCCCGAAATCAATTGTCCACTTTATACATTTAAAAAGAAATTATGACAAATTGTCTAAAATATCCTAGACTCCTAGAGATAAGGTATGAGCATTGTTGACATGAATGAGTGACACACTCATTTGAAAGACTTGTTTGACAATTCACACTCATTTCTTAAAAAAGAGATTTTTAAGAAAAATAGCAACTAATTCAGGACGGAGGGAGTATATATGAATATTATAAGCAATTCCATATACTTTATCCATCAAGCAATTTACTTCTGATTTTGCCCAGGCACAGATATTAAGGAAAGTTGAAACTTGTGTTGACTTTCCTATAATACCCCTCCACTCTTTCTTTATTGAACTGAGCCAACTATGGCTATGGTGGTTCGCACCACCGTATCACCTCCGTCCTCTGTTGGTGAAATACTAAGGCGGATTATCTTTCTTCACTCAACCAAAGTAGTCATTCTATTTCATTTATTTAAAAAATACTCGGTTGGTGAAGTGCGCCATATTAAAAAACCAAATCTGAAAATTGAAAATAGAGGAGATCAGGAATGGGAAACTAGGTGGGTTGACGAAGAAACATGGTGCTGCTAAAAAATAGTCAATCCCGTTCAAGAGGGGAAAGTTGTCGACCCCATGCCCAGCCTGGCTCAACAATGAAGGGATTTTTGTTCAGATCTCACAGAGATCTATAGATTTTTTCTTCCGGAATCCAAATCCGCCACCACCGCACTTTCTAAGCTCCTTCAGATCCAGCAATCGACAATGCTACTCCAGCACAGATGAGACTTAACGATGAAGAAGATGATGATGAGTTGAAGGAGCCCATTTGTCTCTATCTATTGGGGAGGTATATGAAGGAACAAAGGAACTCTCTCCGTATTTTAGTTGAACATTGGGGCTATGGGGTGGAAGAATTGAAGAAGAAGATGATCAAGTTGAAGCAGTGGGGTTGTGAGGTGGAAGAATCCAAGAAGAACCGAAGAAGTTAAATTGTTGGAGTGAGGCTGTTGGGGAAAGAACTGAAGAAGAAGATGAGGGTTGTGGGTGGGGTCAAGTGGGGAATTATAAGGGTAAATATGTCATTTAACATAACATAATTTGCCAAATAATAAAATGATAAGAAAATTTATGGACGGCCCATAAAAGATAGTGGGAAGACAATTTTTGGATGGACGGAGCACTACAATAGGGGGGTCATGTACCAGTCCACTGGCTGTCATACATTCATATGCCTTTTTAAAAATGCATTACTAAAAACAAATAGCAGCCTATCATGGTGATTAATTGAAACAAAAAGTTGAGCAAAAATTGTGTTTTTGAAAACTTTTATGAGTGTGCTACATCCCTCTTACTTTCATTTATAAAGCACACCAAATCTTTTACGGGCGTTATGTGGCTCTATCTATAAAATTCAAAATGAACTAAATGAGAAGCTAAAAACTATTCATAATATAATGAAAGATGATACAGATATAAGAAGTCCACACCAATGAGGCAATAAAATACAATGAAGTAGAGAGCATGCACAGAAGTAGACCTTGTACTGCCACCAAATCTTCCTCTTGATATCATCATCATATTCAAAACCTCCAACAACCTGAGGCAGGGTAATCAACCAAAATGCTGCAATACTGGGATCTTTCATACTGTCAACTATATGCTGCAATGTAAAGGTCACCGAACGATAAAATTCATATAAATTCAGCAAAACACTCAAAAATTAAAGCAATACTGCATGATCAGTTCATGATCAAAATAGACATTAGCTCAGTCTTCTGGCTTTCAAATTCTTGCACAGAAATTAAATGAAAACTAAATAATACGGAGTACTCAAAACCAGGGAAAAAATTATTTGCATCATTACTCTTGCTCTCTAATTACCAATACTACATGTAAAACAGATACAGAGACTACAAGAATAGTCAAAACTCAAAAGTTTCAAGTCGTTACACTTGCAGGAGAAATTGTAAATAAATTCCATCAATAGCAAGGATGTAGTCCAATAGCTGACAAAGAAGTTCAAATTATTGTAAACTACTCCCTGGGTCCAGATTGAATTGACCACTTTCTTGTTTTTGTCTGTCCGGAATCAATTGTCCACTTTCCTAATTCAATAAAGAAACTAACATCAATTGCCTAAAATGCCCTAGAGATGTGGTATGAGCATTGTTCAATGAATGCGTGAAAAGCACATTTGAAGGCCTTCTTTGACATTTTAAACCCATTTCCGTAAAATGAAATTTATTAGAATGTGTACAACTAAATCCGGACAGGGGGAGCATTAAAATAGCAGACTAAAATGGGTAAGGCCATGAGAGACAACTAACCTCATAAGGGTAGTCTATCTTTTTCATTATGTTAAAAGGTATCCATGGCGGCTCCACTATCTGTGAAGTTGAGAGCGTAGAAACATGAATTTCAGAAGAAGAAAAATCTCAACAAGTTGTAAAATCATCTGGAAACTAAACCTTGATGCTCAGCTTACATTATCAGTAGATAGCTTGACTGCTGGCTTGTCTTTGCATTCTGGGCAGATCATAGAGCCCTATATAATTAAGTATGCAAGTGATAATGAAATTGCAAATTAGAAGGTGTAAAAACCCTTGATAAAGCTATTTGAAATATTCCTATAGAAGTTTCATAGTTCTCACGGATCCACTACAGGTTGGACAATCTTTAAATGGAAGTGGCACAGGAAGATCCACTGCTGACGGAAAGTGCACTAACTCTGCTCGGTTCTCAGCTATGGCATTTGCAATACATTCCACTGTTGGTTTCTCGGCACTGCAGATGGATCCCAAAATATTAGTAAACAATGGCCTAGAACCAAGGCTTACTATTGATATCTTTCCCCGCATCTGGCCAGGAATGAAGGACGATCGGGTTGTAACAAGCAAGTACCCATCATATCCATCATAGTAGAACAAAAAACTTTGCAAGAAAATAAAGCAAATCTGAATGTAGACATTGACCACTGGCAGAAAAGGAAGAGTGAAGAATCTGCAGCTCAGAGTCTTTATAATAAAATTATATAGAACAAAGGAACTGATGAACATTAGTACTTCTTCGGGATGGGGTTTCTGGCTAGTGGCTGCATCTTTTGATGCTAAAGATTCTTGCAATTGAGCAAACTTACCTTTGCAGGTGGTAATCTTTGACCTGGTATTGCACCATCCCTGAACCCTTGCACATTGTGCACTGCAAAGCCTTCCAGCCATTGCAGATCCTACAGTCACTACAGTTCAAGAGCAATTTTTCAATAATCGTAGTATAATCTTCAAGTAAACTAAGAAAGTTGGTAAGGAATTAAGGCCGGCTACTAGTACTTAACCACCTTGTACAAACAAACTTCTTTCCCAGCTCCAATGCAACATCACAAGTTCCCAGCGTAGCTACTGCCTACACACCATTTCAAGTAAGACTTGTGAATTAGTATATAGCACTTTGAAGAAAAACTAAATTCAAAGCCTCCAAATGACAAATGAACAAACACAAGTCGAGCCATACCGTCAAAAGAAAAGGGCTAATGAAAACAAAGCGCCATGGAATAAGAACGGAGACTTACAAAAATTGCTGAATAAGATAGCTTAGAAATGAATTCGGGGACGCCAAAGCCGCGTTGGGCGGAGCCAGCAATTTCGAAGGGAAGCGTGAAAGGGGTCAATACCACATTTATAGGGAACTCGAAGATCTCCGTGATTTGGGGACCATAGCGTTTCCTGAGGAGGGTGAACTGAAAGTCTGCAAACCTCTTTAGCACGCTCAAGAGACGCGCCACGCCTTGCGACATTGTAGCTGGAATGGCTCAGTTCAAGACAGTGGGAGAAAAGGTTCAAAGGAGAAGTATATGGTATACATCACTACGTACAAATATAAAAATTCATTTTGAAATACATAGTACTCATTTGAAATAAGGTAGTATCCATTTTAAAATAACGAAGTACTCATTTTACACATTTGTTTAATATAATTATAATAAATAGCATAATATTCATTCTTTATTAAAAAACAATACTCATTCTCAAATAAAAAAAGGTTCATTCCAAGTTTATATCATTTCACATTGTTTTTACCAAAAGCGAAAGATGGTTTTTGAAGTGTTTTTTGTTGGAGAACTATTTAAATGTGCCCAGAAGTAAAAACCAATCAAAAATGTTGAAAACCACTTGGTTGGTTCGGACGCCAAAAACCAACGCCAATAACCGAATGCCGAACGCCGGTTTCTGAAAACCGAATGCTGGTTTCTGAAAGCCGAATGCCGGATGACTTGGTTTTTGGTTTGGGCAAACACCAAGTGTTTTAGGCTTATTAAAAACTTGTGAAAAATGTTTTTGATGATGCATGAAAGACATTTTAATTTAATTAGCCCAGAGAGCTATATTGTAAAGTCAATGCCGATCTTGAACACATTAAGACCGACTCAACTATTACTACGTCTTCGTTCTTTGTTCTTGGTCCTTGTTTCCACTTGATTGTCATGCCATGTTTCTTCGCATTTGATTTGTTCAATGCATTCTTGTTTTCGCGACGGTTTGGCATTATCAAAACCTGTCATAAAACGAACACGATTTTAGTACACGTAGGCATAAATCCGTGGTCCAACAGTCGTTGTGGGTTTAGACCGAATAATACACTATCTTAATTATTTGAGTCAATTTATATTTGAATCCAGACTATCCAAATCCTTCTCAAACGATTCTCAATTGAACACACACACACACACACACACACATATATATATATATATATATATATATATATATATATATAGGGATGGCAACGGGTCGGGTTCGGGTCGGATAGTACTATACCCGAACCCGACCCGACTTTTAAAACCGAAACCCAAACCCGACCCGAAACCCGACTTTCTAATCCAAAAACCCAACCCGACCCGAACCCGACATTCCAACCCAAAACCCAAACCCGACCCGAACCCGACTTTTAACCAATAATCAATTCAATGTATCCCAATAATTTTAAAAAGATTAAATCTAATTTTTTTGTGTCTCATTTTTTATTAAGGAATTATAAAAATGTTATAAATGGCATACTTGATATAGTAACACTTTGTCAAGAGATTATATGGAGTGCTCATTATATCTATAGATAGGCTTTTATGTTATAAAATATTCGGGTTTGAGTCGGGTCGGGTGCGGGTTCGGGTCAGGTCGGGTAAAATAATAAACCCACACCCGACCCGACCCGACGTCGGGTTCGGGTAAAAAATTTCGGGTCGAGTTCGGATTATTTTATTCTCGGTTCGGGTTCGGATATTTTAGTGGTCGGTCGGGTCGGTTAAGCTCGGGTTCGGGTTGAATTGTCATCCCTATATATATACGAATCTAGATACTACGTATATGGCAACAAAATAAGATTAAATTAAAAATCGAATAGAACCAAACAAAACCAAAGTAGTGAGCATGTATAATACATGTCCCATACCAAATACTCCTTCTATCCTAACCAGAAAGAATTGGTTTCCAAGTTGCAGCATCAGTAGGGATGCACACAGTACACATCCTAAACTAGAAAACGGGATAAAGATATTTTAATTTTTGAAGATCGAACACCAAATTAGAAAATGACGATCTAAATTGATCTAGCTCGGGTTGAGTGTGGGTTTAGACCATATAATACACTATCTTAATTATTTGAGTCATTTTATATTTGAATCTAGATTATCCAAATCCTTCTCAAACGATTCTCAATTGAACAAATATATACGAATCTAGATATATTCAACAAAGTTGAATGAAATTAATAATCGAATAGAACCAAACAAAATCAAAGTAGGGAGGAAGTGTAACACCCTAATCCGTCCAGGTCTGCAGCCCCTTTCGGACTAAAGTATTAATTTGGTAATCGTAAAAATTTAAAACATTTTAACATCTTTATTTATCATAAAATAATATTCCATACATAACAATAATAAATTACGGAGTTTTTAACCATAATGAGGAAGCAATTTAAATCATGTCTCATAACAATTTAATTTAATCATTTTAAATCATAAATCCACCACGATCGCCTCGCCCCTTCTGCTGCCAGGAACATGTCAATTACTCGTTCTGCCTACCTGCGTGTAGCAAATAAAACACACTACACGCTCAGCGGTGAAGCTGAGTAAGCATATCTAAAGCGTCGAACATCCACATAAATTGAATCTCAATTCACAAACAACCATTTGATATCATGTACACAATATATAATTCATAATATTCTCAATATTTTTATTTCAATATTCAACATTCATATTCAATATTCAACACTTGTTCTAGTTTAAGGTACTTCTATCCAACTCTTAAGCTAGGTCATTAGTTTAAGGTACATA